GTGTGTGTGTGTTTTTTGTATGTGCATTACCTATATGTGTGTGTGTGGGTTTGTTTTTGTATGTGCGTTACCTGTGTGTGTGTGTGTGTGTGTTTGTGTGTTGTGTGTCTGTGTGTGTTGTGATGCTTCGTCTGAGTTCACCAGCTCCTGTCCTCCTGCCTGTGTCTAGAGGCCATGTCAGCTGGTGACAGTCATGAGGAAGGCCGACTGGTCTACCGCTACGGCGGGGAGCCGGTAGGAGCCTTCGTCCAGCCCAGCCTAAGGCCGCTGATGCCCTCCATCGCCCACGCCATGTTTCTGGATGTGACTCATGATAACGAGTGCCCTATCCAGGTCTGCTAGGTTAGAAGGGGTAGTTTATGTTAGGACACAACCACCAACTGGTCTTTTTTTTCTTTCCAGCTTCGCTCGGCCCTCGACTCTCTCCCTAGCTCTGCTGTAGTTTCTATGGCCTGCTGTGCGACTGGCTCCACCAGAGGATACGATGAACTAGTTCCACATCAGGTTACAATCAAACCGTTTCCTCCATCTGCTGGAGTTGTGTCTCCAGGTCTAGCTGTAGCTGCTTGCTTCTCTTCATTATTAACGTGTTTAGAAGTCAGTTGTTTCTGTTTTAGTTTTTAGCCTTTTTATTTTACAAGTTATTTTGGTTCATCTACAGTGGGTACGGAAAGTACTCAGACTCCCATCACTTGTTTACTCTTTGTTATAATGCAGCCTTGTGCTAAATCAATTAAATTTGTTTTTTTTTCCTCGTCAGGTACACACAGCACCCATGTAGACAGAAAAACACAGAATTTTAGACATTTCTGCAGATTTATTAAAAAGAAAACTGAAATATCACGTGGCGCTAAGTGGGGGTGTGATGGTTCACGAGGGAGTGTTGAACCGTTTTGTTTTATTTTTTCCATGAAATAATGAATTTTTATTTGCGTAATTCAAGTGCAGTAGATAAAAGTTCCTAGACGCATGATGGCTGCATGCGCCTGATCTCCGTTTAATAAATGTGATCAGCAAATTCTGATCAACGTCTTTCAGAGCGGATCAATCCGGCTGGCTGTCGCTGCTACCGTGGAGCCTGTAGAGACGCTGAACGGAGCGTCGCCCCTCCCTCCCTTCTCTCACATTGCAGGCACGCAGCGGCGAAACGGTAAACAAACACATTTGCAGAATTTTCCCCTGGGACAACTGATGCAAAGTTTTCATCCCATAACGAAAAATACGGAGCGGGGGAAGCTCGTTATTTAATACGAGTTTTAAAGAAGAATCTCTGGGCGCTGTGAGGTGAGTTTTTAAGGCTCGCTGTAGAAATAAAAACGTGGAGCATCAACAGTCAAACACTTGTCTGTGTGAGCGTGACACTCATAGCTGCACAAATAACCTGTGACGTAATTGGAGACCTCACGCTAGATCAGCAGCCTGTGACGACACCTGGTTCTGCTCACTACACAAGCCGCTTTACATATTAAATAAATATATTAATAATATACCAAAAATTAATCTTCAAAACACTCAACCGAACACAATTTTTACGTGCCGTTACACCCTCAGTATTCAGACCCGTTGCTCAGCGTTTAGTAGAAGCACCCTTTTTATCTAATACAGCTGTGAGTCTTCTTGGCAAAGATGCAACAAGTCTCTTACACCTGGCTTTGGGGATCCTCTCCAGTTCTGTCAGGATGGATGGTGATCATTGGTGGACGGCCATTTTTAGGACTCTCCAGAGATGCTCAATGGGGTTTAAGTCAGGGCTCTGGCTGGGCCATTCAAGAACAGTCACAGAGTTGTCATGAAGCCGTTATCTTAGCTGTGAGTTTAGGGTCGTTGTCATGTTGGAAGGTAAACCTTCGGCCCAGTCTGAGGTCCTGAGCACTCTGGAGAAGGTTCTTGTCCAGGATATCTCTGTACTTGGCCGCATTCATCGTTCCCTCAATTGCAACCGGTCGTCCTGTCCCTGCAGCTGAAAAACACCCCCACAGCATGATGCTGCCACCGCCATGCTTCACCGTGGGCACTGTATTGACAAGTCCAGTCTAGCCCTATCCCTGGACTCCATAGAAGGTGTAGGACCATGTCAAAGATGATCAGAATAAATGGAAAGCACCTGAGTTAAATACATGAGTGTCAAAGCAAAGGGTGTGAATACGTATCGTGTGATATTTGAGTTTGTCTTTTTAATAAATCTGCAGAAATTTCTAAAATTCTGTTTTTCTATCAATATGGGGTTCTGTGTGTACATGAATGAGGAAATCAATGTATTTAATTGATTTTAGCAAAAATATATAATATGCAATATAACAAAGAGTGAACAAATGAAGTGGGTCTTAATACTTTCTGGACCCACTGTAAATGAGCTAATTATAAAGTTACAATAAAACGTAGTGTCCTTATTTACTTTTAAACCCTCTTTGGTTTGGTTTTGGTGCTTCTGCTGCATTAAACATCAGCTACAGGCTCAGCCGTATCTCATCCACGTTGGTCTGTGTGAGTAGATTTCTGTGGTGAAAGAGGAGCGTTTTTACCCCAAGTGGAACCCCTCCGCAGCCCCCACCTCTACTGGTCAGGTTGGACTCCAGAACGGCATCATTGCTGGGAAGTTGGCCCTGAACAAACTACACCAGGACCTGGCTGCTCGGGGTTTTGGACAGGTGCTGAACACCGCGCCTCCTTTCTGGTTGCATTAAACCAAAAAGCTAAGTCTAACTGAACGTTCTTGTGTTTGTCTTCAGGTTTATGTTGACCAGGTTGATGCAGATATTGTTGCAGTAACTCGTCACTGTCCCAGCACGCACCACTCTGTAGTAACGGTGAGCAGGACGGCCTTCAAGGACCCCAAAAAGAACCAGTATGACGACAACGTTCCCCCCATGTTCATTCCTGGTATGACGACAAGTCGCTCACTTGGTTCTTAGATGTTCTGACAAACATGTAGAGATGTTTATCTGGTATTTGTCCTTTTCAGATTTATGTTGGGCACAGACGTGATGCTCATTAAAGCTGCGTGACCGTTTCCTTCTCAGGTAAAATAGAGGAGATTGTCTTGGAGGCGAGGACAGTTGAGAGGGATGCTGGTTCTTACAAAAGGGATGAGAAGTTCATCAACGGCATGCCAGAGTACACCGTGGAAATAAAGGAACATATAAAGGTAAACACTGTTGTTGTGTTGTTTATCTGTGAGCGGAGCTGTTATGTGACCTCATTATCATTTATACACAGCATCAGGTGATCAGTTTGTTCACTGAAAGGCCACGCCCCTTCATTTTTAACCTGATCAGTGACTCTTGAGTTTTGCATGCAGGCTGAAGGTGAAAAAAAGTCTTCTACCCTCATTTCCTGCGTTAGCTGCCGATGGAAATTTGTTGAGGAAGCACTCGGATTCGAGAATCCCGACAGATTAACGTCACGCTTTCAATTAATGTTCACGGACTCACCCAGCTTGGCTCATGACGAGGAAGGCTGTTGTTGGTTTATCGTCCGGGAAACAGCAGAGAACGTCTCAGCTAGTAGAAGCTAACTGTTAGCATTAGCAACTCCACCACACAGCAGAACACCTCCAGGCTTGTGTTATTTTTAAAGATAAAGCATCAACATTGCAGAGCAAACAGAGTGGTAGAGTGGTGTTGCTGTTAGCCAATCAGAGGCGAGATGCCTGAACTGACCCTTTGCACGTGACGTCACGCCACTCATGTGACCGCCCCCTTCGCCATGATGGACGGCAAAAAGGCCGTTTACACCCGTAGAAACTCCAGTGAAGGTAGTCAAAACAAGTCAGTTTGTAGCCTTTTATTGCTTTTATTTAGTTGATTTGACAGTAAAATGGTTTTAGCTTGCTGCGTGGTCGGCTGCACTAAGGGACAAGGATGTAAACTCAACTCGTTTCTTCTTTTTAATAACTTTGATGGCGACTGAGGACGGAGATGAACTGCAGCGATCAATCAGGACTAGCAGGCCTCAGATTTGCAGCGAACATGTTTTTATCGGGTAAGATTAACGTTCATTTATTTCACGAGGAAGACAGGGACAGGGATAAATGTGATGTGGTTATACTAGTTATTGATCATCCTGATGGACGGGTATTTCACCACGGAGGCTGCGCTCCGTCCACTGTAGTGTAGAGCGAGACAATAATTAACAATATTAAAGCTCCGATGTATGATTACGTGTGTTAAAATTACGTTATTTATTTATTTACATGAGCGTCACCGTTCAGAGATCTTCTCATTCCGGTGTGAGAGCAGCAGCTGAACCCGGTAACACCACCAGCAACAGACGCTGGTAGGGATCCGGACTTTTTAACAATCAGCTTTGGGGTAAAGTGAAACGCTGTTTACAACATAAAGTTATAAATCCAGAGGGGTGAATTTGGGCAAAGTTAGCAACATGTTTACATCGGTGAATAGCTGCAGAGAGAACGTAAGCTAACGTTGGTAAGCTAGTTAGCATACCGCTCTCTCTGAGCCCCCGCTAGATGCGCTACTTCTTCTGATAACTGAACTGGGCATGAACTGGTTGAAGGAATGCTGGAGGAGTTTTGTTTTTGTTTTGATCGCAAAAACAATTTCAGGCTATACTTTTCCCTTTGTTTAGTAATCGTGTCGCTCACTGTTTACATGCTTTTGCCGTCCACCATGGTGGACCCACGTGATTAGGTGACGTCGGTGCAAAGGGTCAATATCAGGAAATTAGACTCCAGATCCTGTTGTCTGAAGCTCACCTCTCTTCTGGCTCACTTCTAGCTCCGGAAACAAGAGCGCCAGAGCTTTTTCCCACAGAGATCGACTCACCAGGCATTCATTTATAATAGAGACCACTCAGAAACGAGTGGTCATGGTCTTTAATGAAGATTGAATTTACAGCAGAATGAAATGGATAGTTCCCGAGTCACCAGCAGGGTTTTGACCAAGCATTTCTGATTCAAACCCAAAACCTGGAAGATTGTTGTAGGAACCACGTTTCATCCATCCAGGTGTAGTTTCAGTACAACACATGATGTTACGACAGTGATGTGTTTACAGTTAGAGGAGAGCACGGTGGTGAAACACGCCGGAGTGACGTCTAAAGGTCGATCAGAGTTTGTACAGGAAATCAAGTTCCAGAAGCTGACACCTGGCAGCGTTGTTGCCTTCAGGTAACATAAAAACACACAACGTCTCTGTTAAACATCACCGTGCTGCATATCTGTGACTGAGAACTTGACTTCCTATCCTAATAACAGAGTTAGCCTGGACCCCAAAGCCCAGAAGCTGGTGGGTGCGTTGAGGTTTTATCTGTCCCAGTTCAGCCCAAAGTACAGGAGAGGCAGCGTTCCAGATGAAACCCCCACAGACATCCTGCAGAAACCGCTGGCTCAGTGAGTTCTCACACTGCTTAAGCTGTTCATGTTCTAGCCTCTCAGGTGTCGGGAGAGTCGGTCAGAGCAGCTTTAGGAACACCTGCAGTTTGGTTCATGATTCAAATCGTTTATTAAAAAATAAACAAAAATGTTGTCTAAAACTGGGGATAATGACCTGACTCGAGGATATAAACTATATCCTGTTAAATGATGTTTGAGATCCTGAATAAGAACAACCTCTAGAGCTGACTGAAGTCGGCCATCAACACCAAGGCTGCTTTAGGAACAAATACACTCAGACTCACTTCTCACTCTCATTTCAGAGAGAGTGTTTCTATAAAAACATCTCAAAATAAGAAACACTTTGCAAAAAGGGTTTTTCTTTGATCTTTAAAGGGGCATTATGGAAGTTTGACAGCCAAAACATGTATAGAAATAATAAATGTCTTCTTCATACATTCATCTGCCCTGGTCCTGTAGAATGAGCCCTGGCATTTTTACTGTGATTGCCTGTTTTTCTGTAAAATCACAGAAAAAGAGAGATGCTCGGGTCGAGCAGGCTGCTTCATGCGCGTTCACGCTCAGGCATAGCCCGTAGCATTTGCTATCCGTAGCTTTAGCAGCAGAGAGAGAGGCAGTGCCACTTTGTCGCTGTTCCCTACAGCGGGGGACTAGTGCAGCGGGCGTACTTGTGTCATTTACCGAAATAAAGCCATTCAGTCAAACATGGCAGACGAAGAGATAGAATTCCTCTCACTGATCGGACATTTTTAAAGCATAATTCTGCGCACACGAAGACGCATAAGAGACCAGTATGATGAAGCTCAATGGTTAAAAGGAATCACGGAAGCGGTGTGATGCGCTTCGTCGCGCATCTAGGAGACGGTACCATAGGAGGCGAGCTGCCATGGTTCACCGCATGCTACAGGAGCAAGCTATCTAGGTGCGCACAGCGTCCCCCGGTCCCCTCCTCCTCCCCCACCTCCCTGTCTGGAACTCGACCTCACCAGTCTGAAGCAGCCACCTTGTCCGTAACAAGTCCGGACCTGTTACTAGGGGCATCGTCCGGTTTAATTACGAAAAACGTTATCTGGATGTTTGTATTCAGACACAAAGGTCTTACGGACAGAGTCCGGAACATTTCCAATTTTTCATGGCCTGTCTGAAGGGGGCTGTAGTGACAAAGCTAGCTACATTTCTGAGGACCCTTAGCTACTTTCTGTAGAACTTTCTTCTAGATATTTCCTGCAAATTAGCAACAAAATAGTTATTTTCGCTTCGAATCATTCTTTGAACGTTGTTTCAGCTGTCATCAAGGATATAAATGTTACAGATACTGTCAATGTTACTAGAGTGTAGCTCACCTTGTAAGATGTCTGTCTCGCATGCAGAAGACCTGGGTTCGATTCTGGGTGTGAACATAGTTCATTTAGAGTTTCTTTTTTACATTAATGGTATATTTTTTACAGTAAGATGCCCAAATTTTTATTTGAGACTCGCCAAACCGCATTGAATTCACAGATAAAAAAGAAGTGGGTTCAACTTTCATTTTGGAACAATTTTTCAAGCAAGGGAAGGGAATGATCTGAGCATGCAGGAGGACTGACCCATCTTAAACCTTTGTCGGCTGTGCTGAAGAGAAAGGTACAGAACCGTCATCGTCTTCCTCCGCTTATCCGGGTCCGGGTCGCGGGGGCAGCATCCCCACTAGGGAGCTCCAGACCATCCTCTCCCCGGCCTTCTCCACCAGCTCCTCCGGCAAGACCCCAAGGCGTTCCCGTACCAGTTTGGACATGTAACCTCTCCAACATGTCCTGGGTCGACCCGGGGGCCTCCTAGAGGAGCAGCGGTTCTACTCCGAGTCCCTCCCAAACGTCCGAGCTCCTCACCCTATCTCTAAGGCTGAGCCTGGCCACCCTACAGAGGAAACTCATTTCGGCCGCTTGTATCCGCGATCTTGTTCTTTCGGTCATTACCCAAAGCTCATGACCATAGGTGAGGATTGGGACGTAGATCGACCGTTAAATCGAGAGCCTGGCTTTCTGGCTCAGCTCCCTCTTCACCACGACAGATCGGCTCAGCGTCCGCATCACTGCAGACGCCCAACCAATCCGCCTGTCGATCTCCCGATCCCTCCTACCCTCACTCGTGAACAAGATCCCGAGATACTTGAACTCCTCCACTTGAGGTAGGACCTCTCTCCCGACCCGGAGTTGGCAAGCCACCCTTTTCCGGTCGAGAACCATGGTCTCAGATTTGGAGGTGCTGATCCTCATCCCAGCCGCTTCACACTCGGCTGCGAACCTACCCAGCAAGAGTTGAAGGTCAGAGCTGGATGAAGCTAGGAGGTCCACATCATCCGCAAAAAGCAGAGACGAGATTCTCCTGCCACCAAACTCGACACACTCCACACCACGGCTGCACCTAGAAATTCTGTCCATAAAGGTAATGAACACAACCGGTGACAAAGGGCAGCCCTGGCGGAGTCCAACCCTCACTGGGAACAGGTCTGACTTACTACCGGCTATGCGGACCAAACTCACGCTCCTCTGGTAAAGGGACTGAATGGCCCTTAACAGAAAGCCACCCACCCCATACTCCTGAAGCATCCCCCACAGGGTGCCCCTGGGGACACGGTCATAAGCCTTCTCCAAATCCACAAAACACATGTGGATTGGTTGGGCAAACTCCCATGCCACCTCCATCACCCTTGCAAGGCATAGAGCTGGTCCACAGTTCCACGGCCAGGACGAAAACCACATAGCTCCTCCTCAATCTGAGATTGAACTATCGATCAGACCCTCCTCTCCAGTGCCTTGGAGTAGACCTTTCCAGGGAGGCTGAGGAGTGTGATCCCCCTATAGTTGGAACACACCCTCAGGTCACCCTTCTTAAAGTTGGGGACCACCACCCCTGTCTGCCACTCCACAGGAACTGCCCCCGATGACCACACAATGTTGCAGAGACGTGTCAACCATGACAACCCTACAACATCCATAGCCTTGAGATACCCAGGAGGAACCTAATCTGCCCCCAGAGCTCCGCCGCTGTATAATTGTTTGACTACCTCAGCAACTTCTGCCCCCGAGATTGGACAGTCCATCCCCAGGTCTCCCAGCTCTGGTTCCTCCTCGGAATGCGCATAGCTGGGATTGAGGAGCTCCTCAAAGTATTCCTTCCACCGTCTGACTATAGACGCAGTTGACGTCAGCAGCTCCCCATCCCCACTGTAAACAGTGTGAGCGAGTTGCTGCCTTCCTCTCTTGAGGCGCCGGACAGTTTGCCAGAATTTCTTTGGAGCCGATCGATAGTCTTTCTCCATGGCCTCTCCAAACTCCTCCCACGCCCGAGATTTTGCCTCGGCAACTGCCACTGCTGCACCCCGCTTGGCTATCCGGTACCTGTCTGATGCCTCCAGAGACCCACAGACCAGCCACGCCCTGTAGGCCTCCTCCTTCAGCCTGACGGCTCCCCGAACCTCTGGTGTCCACCAGCAGGTACGGGGGTTGCCACCACGACTGGCAGCGGCCACCTTGCGACAACAGCTAGCAACAGCTGCCTCAACAATCGCAGAGTGGAACAAGGCCCACTCGGAGTCAATGTCCCCCACTTCTCTCGGGACGCGGTCAAAGCTCTGCCGGAGGTGGGAGTTAAAGACCGTCCTCACTATGCGTTTGGGTCTGCCAGGTCTACGCGGCATCTTCCCCTGCCATCTGATCCAACTCACCACCAAGTGGTGATCAGTTGACAGCTCCACTCCTCTCTTCACTCGGGTGTCCGAAACATACGGCTGCATACGGTCAGATGATACGACTACAAAGTCTATCATCGACCTGCGACCTAGGCTGCCCTGGTACCAAGTGTACCGATGGGCATCCTTCTGTTCGAACATGGTGTTTGTTATGGCCAAACTGCAGCTTGCACAGAAGTCCAATAATGAAACACCACTCGAGTACAGATCAGGCGGGCCGTTCCTCCCAATCACACCCCTTCAGGTCAAGCTGTCATTGCCCACGTGAGCATTGAAGTCCCCCAGCAGGACATTGGAGTCCCCTGATGGAGCACTATCTAGCACTCGTCCCAGGGACTCCAAAAACAGTGGGTACTCTGAACTGATATTTGGCCCATAAGCACAAACAACAGTCAGGACCTGTTCCCCGACCCGAAGGCGCAGGGAAGCTACCCTCTCGTCCCCTGGGGTAAACCCCAACACACAGGCAGAGAGTCTTGGGGCTAACAAAAAGCCAACCCCAGCCCTCCGCCTCTCACCCAGAGCAACTCCAGCAAAGGAGAGTGTCCAACCCCTCTCAAGGACTTGGGTTCCAGAGCCAATGCTATGTGTCGAGGTGAGTCCGACTATATCTAGCCGGTACCGCTCAACCTCTGCCACAAGCTCCTGCTCCTTCCCCACCAGCGAGGTGACGTTCCATGTCCCAAAAACCAGTTTTCTTGTCCGAGGATCAGACCGCCAAGGCTCCCGCCTTGGTCTGCCACCCGATCCACATTGCACCAGACCCTTCATGTTCCTCCTGCGGGTGGTGGGTCCACAGTTGGATGAGCCCATGTATCCGGTTCGGGCTGGGCCCGGCCGGGCCCCATGGGCGAAAGCCCGGCCACCAGGCGCTCGCTCATGGGCCCCAACCCCAGGTCTGGCTCCAGGGTAGGACCCCGGTAACCCTCCGGGCCGGGTACTCCGACTCTTTGACTTTACCTCCATGAAAGATCCTGTGAACCACATTATTTAATTAATTAGCTGCGTGTTCTCCTGTCCTCTGTCTTCTGGGCCACACACACACACACACACACACACGCACGCACACTCACACGCACGCACACACACACACACACACGCACACACACACACGCACACACACACACACACACACACACACACACACACACACGGGACTGTCTCAGCTGTTATTTTCGTTAAGGAGTGTGTACCTACAGCATGCGCGCCTCGTGCACGAGCCTACTATTGAAGCTGCCGTTACACTTTTGGCCTGAGGGGGCAATCGCAAGCATAAAAATTCAAAACTCCGTAAGGTCCCTTTAAAGGAGCAACATTAAAACACATCACTTGATAGAAAGGGAAAAAGTTGAATTTATTCACATTTAAACAGGTTTACTGATAAAGAAAACCTCATTAAAACTGTCCGAAGGTTAGAAATATCATATGAAACCTCCGGTACTCCCTGTCTGACCTGAGACGGCTAAAAAAAGTACATCCACACATTCTTACAGCAGATTACAGGACAAGACGTTTAGTTTATAACAGGAGATTTTATAGCTAACACTCCCAGATGAAGAGAAATACTGAATATTTATTATTAACATATGTGTGTATTTACCCTGGCGATAGGGGGCAGCACATACCTAAATCAATGCAAGCAAGCAGTATTTTTGTTTTCAAGTAAGACCTAACAAATGGATGCCCATTAGGGTCAAAAACCTCTGGGAGTGCAACCTCCAGCAGAATGACAAACACACCAGACTCCCTTTCATCACTGGCAATGAGTGAAGAGGTAATTGTGTAAAACAAAACATTTAATATTGGTGAAAGTTTTGTAACAGTTTGTTGCAAGTCATTAAATGTGTTTTGTCCTCACGGGCTTCCTTAGAAGGAAACATGGCATCCAATATGGCGTCGCCCAGAGACTTAGACCTTAGACCCACTCCCATGTATTTTAGACCAGATTTTTATGGTTATGTTATGAAGCCGCCAATATTTTTCAACATCTGGGCATCTTATTTCATTTACAACAACATTTCGATGGATATTTCTAGGGATTAATGATAAAAACTACACATTGTGACTTTAAGGTTGTCTTTTACAGGCTGATGTCCAAGCTGACGTTAGCAGACATGAACATTTTGCTGTTTCGCTGTGAAGCAGAAGAACAAGAGGATGGTGGAGGCTGTTACAGCATCCCCGGCTGGGAGAGCCTGAAATATGCTGGACTACAAGGTTAAAAACATTCTTCATTATTCCTTCGAGTCGAGTTTATGAAGTACACAGAATTTCCCGGGGAGAACACCAACAGGGTTTGTCTCTTCTTAGGTCTGATGTCAGTGTTGGCAGACATCCGACCCAAAAACGACCTGGGACACCCTCTGTGTGCTAACCTCAGGGACGGAGACTGGCTGATCGACTTTGTGTCCAACAGGCTGATTCACAGAGAAGAACCACTGGCACAGGTGGGGACTCGCCTGCCTGCCTCCAGAGGAGAAACAGTATCTCTATCCTGTTACCTCCAATGTCTCTGGTGTTTCTAACATTAATGACTAATTCATCCTAAACTACAGTCGTAATAAAAAGTACCCCCCGCCCTGTACCACTAGAGCCCTAACCAATTAGAACTGAGCTCTGTCCAGCCTTAGCCAATAGTGTTAGACATCTGGAAGAGGTGGCCTGGCCTGCCAGACTCGCCCGCTGTTAAACTCTACACAGAGATCTTCCCGTAAGGAACCACAAGGCTGGCTCGTCAGGCGTGGGCAGAGGAACTTAAAGGTGTAATATGTTTTCCACCTCTAGATGGCGCCCTCTGAGTAAAAGCATGGAGTTGCTGGTAATAAAACTGTTCTTTATCCTGTTATGAAACTTTTCCTTTGACCACGACAGGTGGGTCAGTGGTTGGCAGCCATGTTTGACTACCTGAAGCACCTTCCTCGCTACCTCATCCCCTGTTACTTTGATGCCATTCTGGTGTCCACCTACAGCACGGCCATAGATGCAGCTTTCAAGCTCATGTCAAGGTGAGGCGTGGGTGTTTTATTAGTGGCAGAAGCCGTTCTAGTGATGTGAAATCTTACAACTCAACGTGAGGGATGTTTCGGTTCTCATGTTGTGACACAGCTTCATCCAGAAGGGTTCCACCTTTGTCCGTCACCTGGCGCTCGGCTCAGTCCAGATGTGTGGTGTTGGACGCTTTCCTGCTCTGCCTCCTATTTCAGTCAAAGTAAAGGATGTCCCTTACCGCATCAGTCCCATCACTGAGCAGAAGGAGCAGTGCTGCGTCTCACTGGCAGCAGGTACCAGCAGCGTCTGACACCTACAGGTGTTTCTGCATAAATGAGTACACCCCATGACACGTGTCAGAAAACCTTTAGTTTCCTTTCACAATCAACACTTTCTATGAGATACCAGAGTACTAAATACTCCCACAAATGTGGACCATTGAATGTAAGCAAGATTTGTTCATTTTGTCATGTCCCTGGGAAGGTGTTTAACCCACGACATGAAGAATCATCACAAAACAACGGCAGAAAGTTCAAACAAAGATTTATTAAACCTAACTAAAAGTGTCCTGGAGATATCCAAGTTCAATGAAGCCAGAAAGAGTCCAGGAGTCAGTAGGGAGGGCAGATGGTGAGACGGGGTGCGTCCAGGAGAGGGAGCCCGACGATGGCGGCAGAGGATAGGAGGCACAGGAGGAGAGGCGAACCGTGAGAGTTGTTGTCCAGGTGGGTTATGGTGAGTTCCAGGTAGGTATATTCCATCAATGGTTCAGCGTTTCCAAGTATCCTGAAGAGGAATACAAACTTGAGTCCAAAATGGTCCAAACACAAGAATCCAAGAAAAAATCCAAATACATCCAAATACTGCGACAGCAAAAATGTCTGAGCAGAGACCAAGCATAACCTAAGACTTGAGAGAGGCAAGATACTACCGTGAGTAGCTAATCATCCAGCGATGTGTAGCAGTTCCCTCTCCTCTTAAATAGAGCTCTGCTGCGGTTGATCTGAGGAGCTGCAGCTGCCGCTGATTGGTAATGCCCCGCAGCTGGTGAGTGCCCTCTCCTGGAATGAAGATCTCACAAAGATGTTGTAGAGAAGGAGGAGTACTCACCCCGACACACAACACATTTGCACAAACAAAAAAGTGATTTTCCCAACAAATCCGTTCAAGCCCATGTTGCAAAAATGAGTACACCCCAATTAAGCCTGATTCATGATTCTCCGTCTGCGTCAGTGCGGAGACACGCAACGCCATTATCCGTTCTTGCGTAGGGCACCGGCAGGCACGCAAGTACGCACGGAGTCGAGCCCACTTTTTTAAACATCCGTCGAACGAGACGGACAACGCAAGCTTGTGATTGGTCAGGACGCCGCTGTCGTCTACACCGCCACCATTGCACCCTCAAAAACAATGAGCCGAGGATAACTAGCGGCAGACACAGAGAAGCTTGAATAATACCTCGCAAAAAAACTCTAAAAACATGAACGTTTTAATTCCCCGTGACTGGAGGAGTGAAAAGATGCGTAGCAAGCGTTTTATTTGTGGACAGAAATGACAGGAAACGTGGGTTTAGAGGTGGCGAGCGCATGAAGAGGTGGAGGAGAATGAGAGACAAATTTGTCTGTTAAAAAGTCTCTTATGTACAAAAAAACACAATATAAACACACTATCTTGGACCGATACATGACAGGATACCACAGAACAGCGCTCCGCCCTCTGCTGTCCTGGCCGGGAATTGCTTTGCAACACTCTCCAGGAGACGGAGAAGCATGAGGGCAAAACATCTCCGTCCGTCCGTGTGTGTCTCTCCCTGTTGGAGCTGACGGAGAAGCATGAATCAGGCTTTAGTCTCAGGAGAAAAGCCACACTTCATACTACAATGATGTAATTAGCAGGCATTCAACCACAGGTGAGTCTAATGATTCATTAAGAGGCGTCCAGCTGACAGGTGACTATAAAAGGACATTACTTAACAAAGAAAAGCCCTTCCCGTTTCATGCTGTCAGCAACGGCGCTAGGGTTGGGCATCGTTTGATTTTGAACGATTCCGATTCCAATTCCTCGTTTCAATTCCCGATTCCGATTCTTTGAAGACATGACATGTTTTACACGAGCCACCTAACCACAGGTCCAACTTGAGGAAATAATCTTAACTTCAACATGAATTTTAATTCTATGAACAACAACGTCACCTTCATTTAGACAAAAACGTGTTTTGGAGGAAAAAAAAGAAAAAGACTTGCAGCACAACCAGCGTGTTTGTTTCTGACCACAACCAAAGTCTGGAAGAAGCCTCTGGAATGAGAGGCTAAATGCCTCCAACATATCCAGAAGCTTCCAGCTGTTTTCAGTTAAAACTCTCAGGATGATCATGTCCAGGATGACTGAGAACTACACCTCCAAGCTGCAGCAGCGTTCAGTCAGAACAGAAACTTAAATGTAGCTGCTGTCAGTAGCAATCTTAACAGATTTAAACATTAAAACTCAACAGAAATAGTTCAGAAAGCAAATTCAAATGTTATTTATTATATTTATAATTATTTATTGTGGCAGAAGCTGGTGTGGTCCACCACAGAGAAAACTGCTCTAGAATGATGACTTTAATTATTCTACAGGTTATTGTTCAGCCTTCTGACGCTCAGACACACACACACACACACACACACACACCCACACACACACACACACACACGAGTGTTGGTGAGCGGCTGCGTCTGACTGCTGACGCTCCGTGTGTGTTTTTATTTCTGCAGTGAGACAAACTCACCTCACACCGTCCAGAAGCTTCTATTAAATCCACCTTTTTGACATATTTTACACGTTTCCTCTACGCTGCAGGAGTTAAAGTTTAATTCAATTCAATTCAAGTTTATTTATACAGCGCCAAATCACGACAAGAGTCGTCTCAAGGCACTTCACATAATAAACATTCCAATTCAGGTCAGTTCATTAAGCCAATCAGAAATAATGTTTCCTACATAAGGAACCCAGCAAACTGCATCAAGTCACTGACGAGTGTCAGTGACTTTACAGCAATCCTCATACTAAGCAAGCATAAAGCGACAGTGGAGAGGAAAACTCCCTTTTAACAGGAAGAAACCTCCAGAGAATCCTGGCTCAGTATAAGCAGCCATCCTCCACGACTCACTGGGGATCGAGAAGACAGCACACACACACACACACACACACACACACACACACACACACACGCACACACACACACACACACATGCACAAGCACACGCACACACAAGCTGTTTACATTACGGAGTAAAAGTTCACGCATTTGTTTAGATTTGGCCGCTGCTTGCGGGGTGGGGGGAGGGAGGGGGGACTCGGTGCTGCAGACAAGAGCTGGTGTGATCAGCTCTGAAAAGCTTTGATCACAATTTTCAGATCACTTTTATTTTTCACGGAGATTGGCCGGAGATTCCTCTTCCGTCGGCATTCTAGGAGTTGGAAAAAAAAACGTTGAGCGATTCCGGAAAAAAGGAACATTTGGAACCGGTTCCAATTGATGCTAGAGGCCCAACCCTAACGGCTCCACGTGGAAGACAAATGTCACAAAATCTGAGAAAGGAAATCATTTCTTTACACAAAGGTGTGGTCTACACGACCATCAGCAAAGCTTTACACATCAGTCACAATACTGTAGCAAAATGATCCATAAAGTTAAGATAGAAGTGCGACCGTCTTACAGAGACGTCCAGGTCGTCCACGGTAGTTAACATCTGGACAGGAGCGTCTTCTGATGAGAAGGGTTGAAGAAAATCACCGTGCAACTTCACTGCAGTTAGCTAAAGCAGTAGAAGGCCAAACTGGAGTGACTGTTTCCATGACACCATACAGAGCACACTGCAGAGGAATGGCGTGCATGGGTATCGTCCACGAAGGAAGCCCACGCTCAAAAAAGCCTGCCTAGGATTTCTAGGCCCCATGCTGAAAGAGATGAAGGATACTGGAACTCTGGAGTGATGAGACAAAGATCACTGTTTTTGGAACTAATGGTTTCAAAGCTGTATGGTGTCGTAAAGGTGAGGATTTCAAAGAGAAATGCATGGTGCCTACAGTGAAGCATGGTGGTGGCGGTGTCCTTGTGTGGGCTGCACGAGTGCTGCTGGTGATGGGGAGCTGCATTTCATTGATGGTATCATGAACTCAACGATGTGCTGCTCTAATACTGAAGGAGAAGATGCTGCCATCACTCCGTGCACTCGGTCGTCGTGCACTTTTCCAACACGACAACGATCCCAAACACACATCTAAAGCTGCTGTTGCGTTTCTGAAGAAGAACAGGGTGAAGGTGACTGAATGTCCAAGTATGTCTCCTGATCTGAGCCCAATCCAACACCTGTGGGGAATTCTGAAGCAGCAAGTTGAGCATCACTGTCCATCCAGCATCCAGACTCTAAAAGAGGTTCTTCTTGAAGAATGGAAAAAGAAGGATGTTGCAACATGTCGCCATCTTGTTCCTTCCATGCTTAGAAGACTTGGTGTTGTCCTTGAAAATCACGGTGGTCATGCACAATACTAGATGTAGTAGTTTTTGTTGTGGGGTGTATTCATGTTTACTTCAACCAAATTTAGAAAAACTGAAGATTTTGTGATCTAAGTTATATTATTAACCTTAATTTCCTGTGATGGAGTCAAACAAGTGTTCAACAAGCCTTGTGAAAATTCTGGAAATTGTTCTTTTGCTCATTGAGCTGCTGATTAAATTTGTACTTTTTAAAGAGGGTGTACTCATTCATGCGGAGCTCCACATGACTTTACCTTTTTAAAACTGTGTTGACATGAAACATTTTCTGCTACACACAGAAATAATGGTGACATTAATAAATACGTGATTGTTTTCCTGTCCCTTCTGTAGGTCTTCCTCATTTCTCTGCAGGGATTTTCCGTTGTTGGGGCAGAGACACGTTCATCGCTCTCAGAGGCCTGATGCTGATTACAGGGAGACATTCTGAGGCTCGGTACGTGTGAACATTCACCATCAAACTTTCACTATAACTCTGCTCTAAAATACACCATGATTTGTTGTGGTTTCCATAGCAACATCATCCTAGCCTTTGCAGGAACTCTGCGTCATGGTCTGATCCCTAACCTGCTGGGAGAGGGCCGCTGTGCCAGATACAACTGCCGTGACGCGGTGTGGTGGTGGCTGCAGTGCATCCAGGTAGGGGGAGGAAAACTATGGCGCGTTATGGGGGCCAAAATTAAGACTACTGCCCAGTAGCAGGAGGCTATATAAATTCTGAAGCAAACTACTGACCTGATTAATGATAAGCTGGCACCGGTAACTGAGAGGCTGGCGCTGCTTACTGAGGAATAGCACCTTTACCGGCGTTACTACTAGATACGCTAGGGACTAGCAGCCCTCGGCTGGTCATTGACTGGTTCACACACTCCCTCTGCTGTCTATTAGCATGGATAGGCTAGCGTTAGCCTGGATGGGCTGGTGTTAGCATTGGAGAGGCTAGCCATTAGCGTGCCTAGGCTGGCCACTAGCTGGATTTCCTACCTCCTCGACGGACCATTAGCATGGATAGGCTGGCGTTAGCATCGGAGAGGCTAGCCATTTGCGTGCCTAGGCTTGCCACTAGCTGGATTTCCTACCCCCTTGACGGTCCTTAAGCATGGATAGGCTGGCATTAGCATCGGAGAGGCTAGCCATTAGCATGTCTTGGAGAGTCACTAGTCAGCTAGTGGCCAGCCTAGGCACGCTAATGGCTAGCCTCTGCGATGCTAACACCAGCCCGTCCAGGCTAACGCTAGCCTATCCATGCTAATAGACAGCAGAGGGAGTGTGTGAACCAGTCAATGACCAGCTGAGGGCTGCTAGTCCCTAGCGTATCTAGTAATAACACTGGTAAAGGTGCTATTCCTCAGTAAGCAGCACCAGCCTCTCAGTTACCGGCACCAGCTTATCATTAATCAGGTCGGTAGTTTGCTTCAGAATTTATATAGCCTCCTGCTGCTGGGCTGTAGTCTTAATTTTGGCCCCCGTACCGCACCATAGAAACCAGCTTTTGTTTCAGCCCCCCTGAACTCAGACGTTAGAATGAAAAAGCTTTGTCTCATAATAAACACTCAGTAAAGTACCTGCATCAGGATGCTTTTTATCCTGTTTTCATCAATTGAATGAAGCATACATGACAAAAAGAAGTTTATTTCATTCATATAATTGTTTGAATATTTGGGCATCGTGGAGAGCATGCCCCTCCCCCACTGGTTTCTGTTACTACAGTTACAAATTATCACCGATGCTGTGATCCCGTGTTTCTCTCCAGGACTACACTAAGCATGTTCCTGAGGGCCACGACATCCTCACCTGTCCTGTCACACGCTTATACCCCACTGATGACTGTGAACCCCGCAGTCCTGGAGAGGTGGTACGTTCACTCAGGTTCAGATTCCTCACACGACCTCAAACTCACGTTTAAAACCTCTGGAAAGGTCCTCTGAGCCCAGAACATGTGTGAATCCTGTTGCATATGATATAAACGTGTGTGTGTGTGTGTAGGAGCAGCCTCTCTATGACGTCATCCAGGAGGCTCTGCAGCGCCACCTGGAGGGAATTTCCTTCAGAGAGCGGAACGCTGGACCCGAGATAGACAAGAACATGAGGGATGAAGGTAGAGCCGGAATGTCTGGTTGTTTCTGTTGCTGTCTTCACCTTTTTGACATTCAGTGAAACGGTTCATCCTAAATTTTTGGATATTTGTTTAATAAGTGTCATGAAGCACGGAGGAAGCCTCATAATCCTGCTGGCCAAATGCTTAGTAAGATAATAAATCTGGTGGCAAGAGGATTTTTCTAGGAACACTCGTTCAACTCGAAGACCTTCTGCGGTAGAACCGCCTCTATAGCTTTTACGTGTCTTTCCAGGGTTTAACGTGGTAGCCAGGGTGGACCCAGACACGGGTTTTGTGACTGGAGGAAACCGGTTTAACTGTGGGACCTGGATGGACAAAATGGGGGAGAGTGAAAGAGCAAGGAACAAAGGGATGCCTGCAACTCCGAGGTAACGTGCAGCTACAGTTTTCTTCTATGAAGGAACCAGCAGACAGCTGCTTTGGTCCATCTGAAGTGTGTGGTGATGTGCAAGATTCCCCCTGAATCCTCCGTCGCTTCAAATAGAACATCCCAGTCAGGGTCCGAAATGAACACTCGCCACTCGCCAAATGCGAGCAAATTGCTCCATTTGACGAGTAAATTTTTTAGCTCTATCTGCCACCTGGCGAGTAAATGTTTGCACCAAATTACTTATGTTTATCAGTCATGTTCCATGGATTTCTGATACTCCTCCCGCCTGCATGCAACGTACACAAACATACGCGAAACGTGAGCGCAGCATCCAACGTCATTTCCACCTATCCCATTCAATCAGTTTATCAAGTTAGCTTCGTGTTAAAACTAGCGGTGAAATGTGGCAGTTTTTAACTGGAGTCAGCCAGCCTTCCAAAAGAAAACTCATCGAACTGGAAGAAAAACCACCAGGACCAGTGGCAACCAGAAGATTTTGTGAAAAGTGGCGAACTGGAGATGGCGGAGTCGTGAGACAATGGCTACATTATGATGGCCACGCAGCGTTGCTGCCTTTCACAGACAACTGGCCCTCGGCATTCTTCAAATATCCAAAAAATGCCCATACTTCCGACTTTGTCTTCTTTGAGGGATAATAAATGTCCCGAGTGCCGTCTCCTCCTGCCATTATTTCAGTTTTAGCTTAAAGAAAGTTTTGGTTGTAAACAACAAAGTGCGCATGTGCCGCCGGCAACTTCAGCAGATGATACGGTGGCTGGTAAGGGTCACCACGCCTACACCGCAGCCACGGTAATCCACCGAGATAATTTTTTTTTAAACAAGACGGATATTATTATTGTCAACTTTTTTACCGGGGTTTACCGCTACACCGGTTACCGTGACAACCCTAGCCCCGACACACTTTCAGATATTCTCATGTTGCAGCTGTGTTCTCCAGAGATCAAGGACTATGACCCAAATGAGGCTGTAATGCTTTGGCACAAAGACGGTGTCAGAAGCAGGAGGCCAGACTTCCTGGACAGAGAAAACAAGGAGTCTGACTAGATTTCAATGAAAGAGTTCATAAAAACATCTCTAAAAATAAATAAATAGTAAAAATGGCAAAAGAGTTGTTTTTCTTATTAATTGAAGTTTGAATTATTTTGTCACTCTGTTTGGAATCAACATAATATAGAATAACATGCTTTAGGTAGATCTAAATCATTTAGAATTTTGGCCGGTAAAAAATATGCTTGGCCGGTAGATTTTCATCATCTACCAGCCAACTTGGCCGGTGAGTAAAAAATTTAATTTCGGACCCTGATCCCAGTGTTGTCCTGAGGAAATGGTTTCGAACTTACTGCAGCATCAGTCGTTAAGGCCTCTGGCTGTTGTAGCTGGAAATAACCTGAGATTATTATCAAGAGGAGGGTCAGAGATTAAAACCAACCCATTAGTTATTTTTGTGTCTGATTTTTGTCTTTAAAGAGATGGAGCAGCAGTGGAGATTGTTGGTCTCTGTAAATCAGCTGTTCGCTGGGTTGTGGAGCTACATGCTAAAAAGCTGTTTCCGTATGAGGGCGCTAAAGTGCACAGAGAGGGTACACACACACACACACACACGTTTGGTTCTTTTACTCTGACCCTGTACAGTAAATCAAACCCTACCCTTTGGATCCAGGTGAAGACGTGTTTGTCTCTTACTCCCAGTGGAACCAGCAGCTCCAGCAGTCCTTCGAAGCTGTCTTCTGGGTGTCTGGAGACCCACACGACCCTAACGAGAAGCATCTAGAACTGGTCCATAAGAAGAACATTTACAAAGACAGTTCTGGAGCTTCCAGCCCATGGTGTGACTACCAGTTGAGACCTAACTTTACCATCTCCATGGTGGTGGTAAGCATAAAGAAAGTCACAGTTTCTGGTAGGGATGTCCCGGTCAAGTTTTTTTGCCTCCGAGTCATTTGATTTTGAGAATCTGCCGATACCGAGTCCGTATCCGATACTTTCGATGCATAAAAATAAAAAAAATAAGAAAAGGAAGAAACTGTTCCAAAATGTTCCTTATTTGTTATTTAATTATCTTTTTATTTTAATTTTTAACAACAGATCACTTCTGTGAGGTAGCTTGAACAATCAAGTAATAAATAACATAAATTCTTCACTTTTGGACTTAATTGCAAATATAAAAAGTCTAATATAAAAACAGAAAGCACTTCAACTTTAAATACCTGGCAGGGGTCTATTTTGCCTCGGTCCCCAAAATGCTTAGATACGCCCCTGGGCATGGGACGGAGTTCTGAAGATGATCTGAATTGTACCAACTATATAAATACTACATGCTGATAAATTATTGCTTTATACAGGTACAGACGTGTATAAATAATAAATGTCTTCTTCATACATTCTCCTGCAATGCCCTGGTCCTGTAGAATGAGCCCTGGCATTTTTACTGTGATTGCCTGTTTTTCTGTAAAATCACAGAAAAAGAGAGATGCTCGGGTCGAGCAGGCTGCTTCATGCGCGTTCACGCTCAGGCATCGCCCGTAGCATTTGCTATCCGTAGCTTTAGCAGCAGAGAGAGAGGCAGTGCCACTTTGTCGCTGTTCCTAACGCCTAGTGACAAAGCTAGCTACATTTCTGAGGACCCTTAGCTACTTTCTTCTAGATATTTCCTGCTAATTAGCAACAAAATAGCCATTTTCGCTCCGAACCGTTCTTTGGATTGACGTTTCAGCTGTCATCAAGGATATAAAAGTTACAGATACAGAAGATGTCACTGGTGCTTTAGCTCACCCGGTAAGACGTCTGACTCCCGTGCAGAAGTCCTGGGTTTGATTCTGGATGTGAACATAGTTTATTTAGAGTTTCTATTTTACATTAATGGTATATTTTTTTACAGTAAGATGCCCACATTTTTATTTGAGACTTGCCGAATGGCATTGAATTCACAGATAAAAAGATGTGGGTTCAACTTTCATTTTGGAACAATTTTTCAAGCAAGGGAAGGGAATGATCTGAGCATGCAGGAGGACTGACCCATCTTAAACCTTTGTCCGCTGTGCTGAAGAGAAAGCTACAGAACCACATTATTTAATTAATTAGCTGTGCGTTCTCCTGTCCTCTGTCCTCTGGGCCACACACACACACACACAAGGGACTGTCTCAGCTGTTATTTTCATTAAGGAGTGTGCACGTACAGCATGCACGCCTCGTGCACGATTCTACTATTGAAGCTGCCGTTACGCTTTTGGCCTGAGGGGGCAATCACGAGCATAAAAATTCAAAACTCCGTAAAGTCCCTTTAAGGGCATCAGGGGAGCCTGACAACCTTTAAGGAGAACCAAGTTGCTCTCCTGTAGTTTGATCCCAGTATCCAACTCCGGATCGGGTCTTGGATCGGGAAGTAAAGCCCGAGTCCCGTTTGAGTCTGAAACCACGTGATCGGGGCCGATTTCCGATCATGTGATCGGATCGGGACATCCCTAATTTCTGGTTTCTGAAAGGATGGATTAGAGGTAAATAAAGACCGTCTCTGTGTGACAGGCTCCAGAACTCTTCACACCCGATAAAGCCTGGAGGGCTTTGGAGGTCGTAGAGAAGAAGCTACTTGGACCACTTGGAATGAAAACACTTGACCCTGAGTAGGTTTGCTCAGCTGTCCTCTGACTACATCAGATTTCAGTTTTTATGTTGGGTGTTAAAAAAAGGAGTAAAGCCTTACTTTATTTGTTTTTCTTATATTTATACTTGAACAAGTTGGAGCTGATCTGCAACTCTATTTTTAGTTTCTGCTGTTTGAGTTACACCTCACACCTGACCGTGTTTGTGTTGCCACAGTGACATGATGTACTGCGGCGTCTACGATAACGCTCTAGACAACGACAACTACAACCTGGCAAAGGGGTTCAACTACCATCAAGGACCGGTAAGTCAGACAGGAGCTAGTGGAGGTTGGCCAGAAGCAGCTGCTCCAGGGAAGCTGGGCTGATCCAACCCCTGGGATTCAGAAATCCTGCCTCTGATGAGGAACCTGCAGAGCCACTCAGGAAACCTGCCTGCCTGGAGAAGAAGCCGCTTCCTAGCTCTGGTCAGGGCGACCGCCGGGCTGGATGGGTGGAGCACATCCTGATGTTCTTTGTTCTGCCACTGTTCGATCCTGCTTCTTCCAGCTTTGTCGCCTTGCCCGACTAGAGCCCATTCTTAAGAGGCCACACTTAGAATCAGTTATTCATGCATTTATCACTTCCAGACTCGACTTTTCCAACTCAGTTCAAATCGATGTAAATGTATCCGTCCTAAATCGTCTGCAGAAAGTCCAAAATGCTGCAGCCAGATTTCTCTCCAATGCAAATAAATGCCGTCACATCGCTCCCATTCTGGCTGATCTACACTGGATTCCTGTACAATTTCGAATTCAACACAAAGTTCTAACTTTTACCTACAGAGCCCTGAATGGTCTAGCTCCGTTATACTTGTCAGAGCTGCTCACCCCCTACATCCCCCCCTGGTCACTAAGGTCTGCTGATCATCTATTGCTTAAAGTCCCTACAATGAAGTATAAAGCTCGTGGGGAGCGTGCGTTCGCCTTTGCTGCTCGCAGACTCTGGAACGCACTCCCGCTGGTGGTACGCCAGGCTTCTTCACTGGCACAGTTTAAATCCAGCCTGAAGACACATTTTTTTCATTTAGCTTTTGGTCAATGATCGGTCTTTTATGCTGTGACTCTCTTCTGTTTTTGCTGATTTCTGTTTTTAGTGACTTCTGTTTTTATTGGCTGTTTTAAACCTTTGCTTTGATTTTAGGTGTTTCTATTTTATGACAGTTTTTATCTGTGTTTAATGTGTATGTATGTGAATTTGAATGGCTTTTTAGGTTTAACTCTGTGCTTTTGTCAGCTGACATGCTGTTTTTAATGGCGCTATATAAATACAATTGGATTGGATTGGTTCTGCTGTTTGCTCTGTAGAGTTGGAGCCACATTAGTGGACGCCAGCCTGAGAAAGTGGAGTTAGCTTTTAGCCAAGCTCGCTCCTCTTCTGCGTTGGAGGCTACCTCTACCTTCGTCCACTCAGTTGTCTTCTTTTTTTTTTTGCTCGTTCAGAAGGTTGCCCTCAAAGTGAATGATGGTCCCCTCATAGCTTTTTTACTTCAGGCTGTCCCAGTCTCACCACAAGAGACTTAAAGCCTTCCTGAATTGCTGGTAAGAGAGAAATCACAGTAGTGTTTTTTGTTACCGGGGCAACCATCGTTACCAGCGCCTTGACTCTACTCTGAATTGTTTTAGTCGTGGATCTCAACAACAGTGCTCACTCAGTGTGTCTTCTGAATCCTTTTAAGTAGAGCCTTGCACGGGCCTAAAATCTGAGCCCGTGTCCGGCCCGGCCCGAGGGGGTGGAGCCCCAGCCCGACCCGGTCCGAAAAGGTTTTCAGGATTCTCTGGCCCAACCCAAGCCCAAGCCCGACTTTTTTTCAACCAACTAAATGAAAACAAAGTGCGTCAATCCTGACCAATGTGTTAAAAGACGTGCAGGTTCCGATCAATTTGTTTTTCCCTCATTTACCGTCACAGAGATAACGGCGCACTGGCTCTGGTGGTAATCAAGTTACATTTGATCTCTTTCCAACAATTTTCACAAGAAAACAGAACAGTCAAAAGCAGGGCTTGAGTTGTGTTGACCGGATAGTTCCCGTATTTGGCCGTTTATTTTGTTGGAGAAAGAATTACCCCGACGCACGCAGACGAACTGACATTTTATTCGTTATGCACATCGCAGATGTAGCTAAAAGATTCCCATTTGAACATCTGAGCTGGACACTGCTCAGCGCAGCTCACTGTCAGCGCATATGTGCACAGCGAGCTGAAGATGTGGAGATTAGCTTGGAGCGCGTTGCAGAACCAGAGCGCATGCAGGAAGGTTCCTCCTGAAGCGAGTGTTTTCCAAACCCTGTCTCTCAGAGAGACTTGTCACTTAGAAAATGTTCCCTGATTATGAAACTTTGGCTGAATAGCGCTTGTTCCTGTCTCCAATGTGGCGACACATCCAGGAGCCGTCTGAGGAGAAGCCCAGAATCTCACATCCTCTTCAGCTCAGAAGCGCCTATGATTACGCACAAGCGTGACGCGTAAACCCGGTCTCACAGTAAGACCGGGTTGGGCCTGTTCAGGTTTACGCAGACAATCTTTACATAGATTTGACTTACAAATATAAAATTAATGCAGTAAAATGTAAAGCATTTTATTTAAATATCCATTCATTATTTTACAAGCACAGAGAGCCGCATCAGATGGATGGAAGAGCCGCGGGTTGTGACATGTTTTCTCCAGGACCAGAGAGGACGCAAACTCAATACATCTCTTTTATTGTGAGGTAATAATTTCTCCGAGGTTTGCAGGCGGGAGTGTAACACACACATTGCGGTTGCGGGCGGTAATGGTCAGAAATTCAGCAGGAGCGGGATGAGGAAAACAGACCCGCACAGGGCTCTTCTGCTGCGTTTCAGTCAGGGGTCGGTTCCCGGTTGGACGTGTCTGTAAAACCTCACCAAGGAGGCATCCTAACTAGATGCTCGAGCCACCTCAACTGGCTCCTCTGGATGTGGAGGGTTAGGGTTAGGGTAACTATAGCACCTGCTGATATGACAGTTATTTAGTGTACCTTTTAATAGGAAAACACGTCAGCACTTACTTACCTCGTCCTTGTTCGCAGGAGTGGCTGTGGCCAGTTGGCTATTTCTTGCGTGCTAAACTCTACTTTGCCAAGCTGCTTGGGGAGGAGGCCTACACCAGGACGGTCACACTAGTGAAAAATGTTCTGTCTCGTCATTACACTCACCTGGAAAGGTAGGATCTCTAGTTTTCTCCCCTCTCCGTGATCGTAGTCGGGTTTTATCGATTCTTTTCTCTTCTTCAGATCTCCGTGGAAAGGCCTTCCGGAGCTGACCAACGAGGACGGCCGACACTGCCCTTTCAGCTGTGAGACCCAGGCCTGGTCCCTGGCCACTGTCCTGGAGGTCCTGTATGACCTGTAGAGGCCCACTGAGACGGCGCATCACCGCCTCTCTAACGTGATCCCAGCGGTTTGAGTGATGAGTTTAACAGAATCAGCAGCGTTCTCTAGAATAACGGCTCAGAGACGGGGTCCTCCTGACTATTTTAAACATATTTAGTCGTTCTGAAGTGCATTTCTGTACACAGCGTTTAAATGTTACCGTACCCTCTAGTTCTTTTATCAGTGCAATCTGTTTCTATACCTCAGACCGGTTTTCCATGGGCAGGGGTCACTTCTCTGGACCTGTCCAGTGTCTAAAGGCCATTTGTTTTGTGCCACTGGTAGAAATGTCTGCTCTCTCTGTCTTTAGAGATTCCACCTCCATCTTTTTAAGATCTGGACACAAATGTGTCTCTTTGACATGTTGCTTTGAGAGAGAACCTACAGAACTGAGCCTCGCAGCTCCCTCCAGCACACGTGCAGTTGTTCTGAGAGCTACGTGAAGCGTGTCTGACTGGTTTGGAGTCTTCACAGGTCAGGGTGTAGCTCCTTGGTCACACGAATGGTGGATTTTACCGACGCTTCATTCCCGGAGTTTTTGGAGGCTTTTACCAGCTGTTCCGTATAAAGGCAGCATCTCACCCGTTGTTTGCGGTTTTATTTTAACAGTTTAAACAGAAGAATCAAAAGAAAACACCAATAAGACATTTTTACCAGTGTTTGAAATGTTGAGATGAAATTAAATGTGCCGCTGCTGATGAGATCTCTAGAGCTAAAAGAGAAGAGAACAGCAGCTGCGGCACGACTGGAGCTTTTAAGGTTGGTAGTGATGAAGATGAGGAGGCATTAGAAAACAGTTCAGAGCTAATCATAAACACACAGTTAGCCTCCAGATATAGAGGCCTAATGAGAGCGGGACAAGGTGAGACGGACCTGATGATGACATCATCACCTGTTTTAAAGCAGGAGTCTGAAAACAAACACCTGAGCAGGTGTTGGTGTCCAATGGGGCCTGGATCTGTGAACACGTGGATTAACCCTTTCCCACACACACACACACACACACACACACACACACAGTCTGATAAAAATGCTTTACAATGTCTCTTCTGTTCCTCTAAAAGCTTCACAGGTCCATGGGACGACCTGGTGTTCTAGTCCTAAAACCAAGTTGTGCATGAGTGTTTGGCATTAGTACTTTAAATCACTCTCCATGATGTTCCATACTAAAAGTGGTTGTTACACACTCACTCTCTCACCAAGATGGAGATTGACACAAGCGCAGTGCTGAAACTTGTGAAATCATTCTGATAAATGTGTAATTCTGCGTGTGGTTTTGGTTTAAAATAACATAATTAGATCACAGCTGTCACATTTGGATTCTGGATTATTCGACTTGAGTCAGAAAGCAGTCGGCGATTCTGGTGGATGGACACCCGTCTGCTCTGTATCGTTGATGCTGAATAAAGTAGTACAGTAGCACGATTGGTGTTTTTCTTTGTGTGTCTCATCTAAGTACAGGTAGGGGATCTGTTGGTCAGCAACGATCAGAGGGAGTGGAAAGGGGCTGCAGTAGGTTTAACAACACAATGGACGGATTCATGGGGAAGACTGGCTGCTTACTGAAGCTAGACACAGCAAGGCTGTCGTCTCATGTCACACCTGACTTTAACACATGGTGAGAAATGAATGAGCTCTAAGTAGAGCAGTAATACTCTGTGGACAGGGAGTTGTCTGGAGCATACAGTCTTGTTTAAATGTAATTGGATAAAAGTCTTCTGGACCTGCCAATCAGAAGCTCAGTGTGTGTTTGCGTGTGGGGTGGGGGGGGACTCAATGTGAGAGAACACAACTAAGACAGAAGTTAAATTAAGTACAGTACAGGCCAACAGTTTAGACACCTCATTCAGTGTGTTGTCTTTACTTTCATGACTATTTACTTTGGGAGATTCTCACTTAAGGCATCAAAACTATGAATGAACACATGTGGAGTTATGTACTTAAGGGACGTGTGTGTGTGTGTGTGTGGCCCGGAGGACAGAGGACAGGAGAACGCGCAGCTAATTAATTAAATACTTTGGTTCTGTACCTTTCTCTTCAGCACAGCCGACAAAGGTTTATGATGGGTCAGTCCTCCTGCATGCTCAGATCATTCCCTTCCCTTGCTTGAAAAATCGTTCCAAAATGAAAGTTGAACCCACATGTTTTTTATCTGTGAATTCAATGCCGTTCGGCGAGTCTCAAATAAAAATGTGGGCATCTTACTGTAAAAAAATATACCATTAATGTAAAAAAGAAACTCTAAATAAACTATGTTCACATCCAGAATCAAACCCAGGTCTGCTGCATGAGAGTCAGACATCTTACAAGGTGAGCTAACTCTAGTAGCATTCTGTAACTTTTATATCCTTGATGACAGCTGAAACAACGTCAAACCAAAGAACGGTTCGAAGTGAAAATGGCTATTTTGTTGCTAATTTGCAGGAAATATCTAGAAGAAAGTTCTACAGAAAGTAGCTAAGGGTCCTCAGAAATGTAGCTAGCTTTGTCACTAGGCGTTAGGAACAGCGACAAAGTGGCACTGCCTCTCTCTCTGCTGCTAAAGCTACGGATAGCAAATGCTACGGGCGATGCCTGAGCGTGAACGCGCATGAAGCAGCCTGCTCGACCCGAGCATCTCTCTTTTTCTGTGATTTTACAGAAAAACAGGCAATCACAGTAAAAATGCCAGGGCTCATTCTACAGGACCAGGGCATTGCAGGAGAATGTATGAAGAAGACATTTATTATTTCTATACATGTTTTGGCTGTCAAACTTCCATAATGCCCCTTTAACCAAAAAAGGTGAAATAACGGAAAACATGGTTTATGTTCTATTTTCTTCAAAATAGCTCTCCTTTGCTCTGATTGCTGCTTTACACACTCTTGGCATTCTCTTGATGAGCTTCAAGAGGTGTGTAGTACTTGTTGGCCGCTTTGTAAATGGTCATGAATTGAAAGAAAACACATTAAATGAGGAGATGTGTCCAAACTTTTGGCCGGCACTGTACATCATGGTGACATCCCAGCCAGTGGAAATAGTATTTTACACGACAGATTGAGAATGTGTTGGGTAATGATGATGTGACCACAGGGTGGTACCCGCATGCTGTACATGCATCGATGTGGACCATGTAAGGATAAAGAAATGCACTTGTTGGGTCTTGGTTGTGAGATTGTTGGAAAACGTCAATGACGCTGTCCGTGGTGCTGCAAGTATCTGATGGAAGTACTGCGTCACCAAACACTGCATTAACGCATGCATTACTGGAGGTGTGCGTTTCCTTCTGATTCAAATACCTTATGGTATTTGTTAAATGGTCGCAGTGTGTGCAGGGGGGCTTCTCGGGGGAGCTGCCGCCGCTTTTCCGATGAGCGCCACATACACACGAATGGGCTGTGACGCCGCGCGCTGCGCCGTGAACGCACAGAGCGCAGTCCACCTGCTGGAACAGTGCGCTGTGTGACGGACGCAAGGCAGCTCCATCTCCCCTTCCTCCTGCCTTTCTCATGCTGGCGAGCAGCGGCGGAGAAAACAGTGTCAGGACCACTGAGCGGCCTCCATTTTTAATCCAAGAAATCTAATTCCAGGTGCGACAGCAGCCACATCTCTGCAGGACCCGTCTAGCTCACCCCGCCCGGGTATGGAGGGTCGTTTTTAGGGTCCTGGAGGTACGAGGGGCGGCAGAAGAGCGGGAACGGGGACGCTGTCGGAATCTAGCCAAAATTACGACGGGAATCAAGTACAATCCACTGTCTCCCGGTACCGGGGGAGACCACCGGCCACTAGTGATGTCTCGCACGAAGGAGCGAATGAAAGGCGGGAAGGAGACCAAGGACAGCGTCACTCTGCTGCCATGTTTTTACTTTGTGGAGGTATCTATCTATCTATCTATCAATCAATCAATCAATCAATCAATCAATCAATCAATCAATCAATCAATCTATCTATCTATCTATCTATCTATCTATCTATCTATCTATCTATCTATCTATCTATCTATCTATCTATCTATCTATCTATCTATCATCTATCTATCTATCTATCTATCTATCTATCTATTTATCTATTTATCTATCTATCTATCTATCTATCTATCTATCTATCTATCTATCTATCTATCTATCATCTATCTATCTATCTATCTATCTATCTATCTATCTATCGGTCTATCGGTCTAGCTGTCTATCGATCGATCGATCTATATCTGTTGCACTGATGTAAAGGTCCACCCATCATGGTGGCTCCTATCTGACCAGGTAACAGACATCCATCAGGACTTGATGAAAACATTTCTCACATTTGGTCCCAACACCCAGACCAGCTGTTGGACCAACAACCCTCTCCTTGTTTTATACTCCCAGTCTCTGCGGTGGTGTTGTTAGTCCTACTGCATGCAGCTCTTCTCTCAGACCCACACACAGAAACACCTGTGGTATTTAACAGCGACAGGTTCTGCTGAACATCTCTGTCATCATGTTGTCTCCTTGAGCCTGCAGACATGATGCATGGGTTTTCTTGCCTCCAGACCACTGAACACCAGATGGCTCAAGAATTCAGCATTTATAATTATTCTCTATGTGATGAAGAATCAAACTAGCCTTTGTTTGTCAACGCGAGTTGCACACCCGCTCACACTGCAGGACAAACAAGGTCAAATTAACCAAACAAACACGTCCGGCTGCAGCTTTTCTCCTTCATCACTGAGCTGTAAACTTCAGTTTGAGCATTCCTGGTCCCATGCTTATCAAACATGTCGGAAAACAAACGGGTTGTCCCCGAGCGGCGAGCAGGTGTAATGTCCATGAGGACATTTGGTGATCAGGACAGGGACGGGGCATCGGTCGGGTCTTTGGTGGCACTGAGCAGAAGGGTCAAATTAGCCTGCAGCTCTTCTAAAAGAGGTTCAGCTTAAACAAGAGAAGTAGGTGGAGGAGCTTCAAAACACACACACACACACACACACACACACACACACACACACACACACACACACACACACACACACACACAGTTGTTTTTGAACCAGCATCCTCCTGATTAACCAGGGTCTGAGCCAATCAGAGGCGGCGGGGGGCGTGTCTGTTAGTGGAGCTTCAGTCCAACTAAAAACGAATGAGTTCAGAAGAAGAAAGGATTTTCATAAAGCGCCTCTCAAGACATAAAGTCAGGAGGTGCTTCACAAGAACAATAAAATATAAATGAAAAATGATTTTAAATAATTAAAATAACAATAAGAGTGAAAAAAAACTCATTTAGATAAAAAAATGAGAATAGGATGAAACAGGATCCCCAAAAAACCTAGAATAGGCAGAAACACCAGCATGAAAATAAGGAAGTGAGGAAGAAGAGGATGAAAGCCAGCCTGACTGAGTGTGAGGATTCAGATCAGGACTAGAACTCGCAGATAAACAGAGATTATTGCAACGTTTTATTTAAAGGTCTGGCTCCTGTTTAATTATCAGCCTTCTCTGATTTTCTGATAGATTACATCAGATTATGAACAAAGAGCTGCAGATGTCTCCACCATCATGGAGCTAAATAACTCTTCTCCTTAGCTGCACTGATCAAAGTTGATTCTGAGGTTTCTGCATATTTTGATTCTGATTTTGTGGTCTTTGTTCGAGTCAGTTTGGTGTTTTTAAGCTAATCTTACCGAACCACATTTGAACCAGTCAATCTTCATTATTACCGTAATTTCCGTTCTAGAGAGCTAGGGTTGTCACGGTGTGAAACTTTAACCTCACGGTTATTGTGACCAAAATTACCACGGTTTTCAGTATTATCGCGGTATTTTTTTGCTACATTTTCACACAATTAAAGGCAAACCTGTATATCAGGAAAATATTGTCCTCAGTTTGTGTCTAAATTTAGCTTAAAATTTGTTATTTTGTAATGATGTTGTTTATTTGTTTACATATTTCCCCTTTAGTCTTTAAAATACCAATATTTGCCCATAACTTCTTATTTTTTGTCTGTTTGATGTCATCATTTTAAAAATATTAGATCAGATGATACTCAGTACTCAAGCAGCCTTCTAATCAGATACTTTTTTACCCTTACTTGAGTAATAAACCCTATATCAGGAAAATATTGTCCTCGGTTTGTGTCCTTCCAGTGAGCTTTGCAGATGTGGGAAAATGTCATCAGGCAGTAATCGTTGTTAAATTCATAATTATTCTCGGAGAGAGACCAACTCTTATCTGCCCCTGAGAGCCCCGTAATGCATAGCGTCATTTCAACATGGGGGTGTCCGCGACACGGTTTATATGCAGGTAGCGGCGCTGCGGCTGCTTTATATAGCGACTCGTTGCATTCTCCCTCAACCCAAATCCTCGGGTCACGCATTTTAGCTAAAACGCTAACGTTAGCTTGCCTTACGTTGACTGTAGAGTTGTGGGTGATGGTCACGCAGATGTGTCATGAGATTTGAAGCGTTGCTGCCTTTCACAGACACTTTTCCTGCACGTGCTGCTAACCCGTCTTCTATCAACTGTCCCTCGGCATTCCATGCTGTAGTTCTTTTTTAAAACACAGAGCAGTTTGCAGCCGCAAACAAAACGTAGCGGGAAAACAGATAAACAAAAACTGCTCTGTGTTTTAAAAAAGAACTACAGCATGGAATTAGAGATACGACACAACAAGAACACACACCTAAGATGTCCCTCGACATTCTTCAAATATCCCAAAAATGCCCGTACTTCCCACTTTGTCTTCTTTGAGGGATAATAAATGTCCTCCTGAGCGCCGCCGTCTCCTCCTTTGACCATTATTTCAGCTTTAGCTTCAAGAAAGTTTTGGTTGTAAACAACAAAGTGCGCATGTGCCGCCGACAACTTCAGCAGATGATACGGTGGCTGGTAAGGGTCACCGCGCCTACACCGCAGCCACGGTAATCCACCGAGATAATATAGTTTTTTAAAAACAAGATGGTTATTATTACTGTCAACTTTTTTACCGGGGTTTACCGGTTACCATGACAACCCTATATAGAGCGCACCCCAAAATAAGCCGCACCAACAAAAAAAAAAAGGTTTTCTACACACACGCCACACTCAAATACAAGCCGCGGCGCAGCAGCCACATGCAGGTCTCTGGCGCACAGCGCATGTACGGCCACAACATAAGATAATTAGACAGAAAGACGCTACACGGAGGTTTTTCGTTGTTGTTTTAATTCAACAAAATGAATTTTAAACACGGGTGAACGTGCCTGCAAGTTTAGAAAAGAAAACAGCACTGATAGCATTCACATTTCTGGATGGTTATAAGATAAAAACAGCACTGACCCGTTATTACTGGTAATTTGCATGTTTAGAAGAAAAGAACAGCACTGACACAGCATTAATAAGCCCTGGATGATTAGAAAATAAACACTGCACACAAAACATGCCTGGTTAGTAAATAAAACACACTTGCCTACCAGAAGAAGTCATTGGCTCTCATCTTCCTCCTGCACACTAAAGCCATTAAAGTCCTTCCTCTTCTTCAGTGTCAGAGTTGAACAGCCTCAGAAGAGCTTCGTCACATACCTTTTCTGTGGCGATGTCAGCGTCGCTGTCCGTGTTGCTGTCATCATCCCCGGGTGAAGCTGGCTTGAATGAGTTCTTCCCGCTGCCGTCTCCAGCGCCGAACCATGGATTCATTCATGCCAAGCTTACGTGCGGCAGCGCTGTTTCCCTCCTTTACTGCCAGATCCATGGCCTTCAGCTTAAATGCGGCATCATATGAACTCATACGTGTAGTTACCATGATGAGGGGGTATGGATTTGAAACAAAATCTTCGTCGTGCCGGCTGCTTGCATGTGCTAAATTAAAATGAGCACTTTCTTCGATTTCCACTTTTGACTTCCACCTGTTTCACTTCCTGCGAAAGCGCCCCCTAGTGGCAGGTGAAGGAAAATCCTCAGTAAAGCCGCACCTCATTATAAGCCGCGTGGTTCAAAGCGTGGGGAAAAAGTAGCGGCTTATAGTCCGGAAAATACGGTAGTTATGAAAAAGCTGTCCCCTGACCTGTCTCCATCACTGATTGGCTGTGTCACCTACCAAAGAACTGACGCTCCTCGAGTGAAACCGTGGTAGTTAAACTGGCCAAAACAAAACCACTTTGAACTCATGTTTATGCACAAAACATTCCAACATGTGGGCCTTGTTGTCGGGTTTTCTGTGTTGTATTTTAACAAATTGTCTGGTAACAATGTTGGAAAACAGAAAAAAGGAGGAGGGATGAGCTCTAAAGTGAGCAATAAGCTAACATATTAAGATTTTGGAGAGTTTAGGGTTTGTTCAGGAGCTGCAGCTGCCTCCTCCCTCAGACTCAGTTACAGTTAAAGTGATTTGAAGGTGGGTGAAGCGCATGACCTGCACCCAGCTCCACATCTCTGTACCACCATGAGTCATGAGCTGCTCCCATTAGGTCAGTGCTTCAAGTGCAACATGGCTGTTGTAATGATTTAAATTACATGTTATTTAATAAGCAGTAAGGCGTAGGATTCCATAGTAAATATGAAATCCATCTTATGGATCTGTGAGGTTATTTAAACTAGAAGATTGGAACTTTTTATTGCAGGGATTAGATAACAGCTTCGTATTCACTCAGAGACAACAGAAGAGAGAGTCAAGTTTAAAGGTTTAAAGATTTATTACTAAACAGATTAAACTAGACTAACTAACTAACTAAATGTATGGTGTAACTAAGGTGGATGAGACGGTGAATGGGGTGAGGTGTAATGTTGCTCAGAACCAGCAAATCCGAAGAAGCGATTGGTTCTGATGGGAACTGAAGGTGATGTCTTCGCGTTAAGCTTTGGTTAGGAGATTCATAAACACATTCGACGCCATTTGTCGGCCTACATACCCTTAGCGGGAGTCCCCG